AACATACAGCAGGGGTGGGGTTCAGCTAGGCCAATGGTCAGGGATGATGGGAATTGTAGTCCACCAAATTCATCATCCCTGACATACATGTCTTTAGAATATGCACATGTCACACTTAACTTGCCAAGTTCCTTCCTGCCATCTTTTGCTTTGCCCCATTTTAACCCTTCTTGGTCACAACTTTGGACCATACTTTCCCTGCTGATGTCCAGTAGGCTATATTGATAAGTCTCTTGCCCATGCTGTCACAAATTTGCTCAGTTTGAGTAAAGATGCTAGTAGTGATGCCCAGTGAAGTTCTGCTGGGTGCGGAAACAAAGATGGGCGGTATATAAATAATAAAATTAAATCAAATCAAGTTCAGGCCCAGCTCAGGAGGAGAGGCAAATTTTACAAGCCCTGAGCTTCCTTTCCCACTTGGATCAGAATCCAAGGGCAACAGCTCTAGTCTCAGGACCTGCAAACAGTCCTGCTCAACTTGTGCCTATCTGTGAACAGGGGCAGACTTTGGTAATATGGTGCTTCCAAAGTTTCTGGCTCATGTTTATCCTTGCAAACTATTTACAACAATGGTGGAACTGTTTCTGTAACGGAGGGGAAGCTTTAAACATGTGCTCATCCCAAGTGCCAATAATCAGGCTTTTTATATGCTATTAGAATTCCTATCCAGTACAAACCTAACAATAAAGAAAAATTTATAATGTTGCACTTACTGCATTAGGAGTACTAAACACCCAAAACACATGGTCTCAATGGATGTGTGGGTTACACTGATAATTTGCAAAGAACATCACATTCTCAGTATGCTTGAACTAGTGCACAGCTATGGGTGGCATTGGATAGAGGTGGTGGCCATCAGAAGTACTTGCTTTGAGAAGGCAATGGGCACAGCTAGAGCAGCCTACTTGCTAACCACTTGCTAGGTGCTTGCAACAGTATTTCTGTTATTGCGCTGCAAAATTGTGCAGAAAGCCTAGGACAACTCTTCCTGCACTCTCCATGTGTCATGGAAACCAAAACCAAAATCATGTGTTCATTTCTGTCTGATTTTAATTTAATTTAATTTAAAATAGAGAGCATCAGTGGCAGCGAGAGCACCCCACAGGATGTGGTCAGTAGATTATATCACTCTGGTAACACTGAATGGTGCTGCAAGACAGTGCAGTCTCAAGGAAATAATGACAACACCTTTTAAACAGTACTAATTTTAAATTAAGTTGAAGAACGTTGCAAAAATGGACAAAAAAACCCAATCATTGAATTATTCAAGAGAGGAAGAGCTGTTCCCCTTTGGATCCAAAGATGCACTTTTGCATAAAGAAGGCATCTACCGCTCAAAGAAGGAAAGGCTCCTTCCTTTACAGTGTGCACTCTTGCACTAAGGACAAAAGTAAAAGTCCATCCAAATCTGTTCTTCTGCTCACACAAGAACTTGTGTAGCATCTTTGCACAAGCATGAGACTTGCTACAGAGTCTACATAATATGTCATTGGGTGAGCTCTTCTTCCAGTCACTCATGGAAAAGCTCATGGTTCTTCGAACTTATGTGAAACATCTTCAACCATTGGCAAAATATATCCTGACTGAATTCTGTTATTTGTGTGTTAATCATGTGAGCTACCTCGGAGGCCGTTTTTGGCCAAAAGGCGGCATATAAATGACAATAACAATTGATGCATTACACACTCAGAGAGCTAATGATTACAGCAAAAAAACACAAAAAAACATTATAAAGCCACTATTTATTAAAATATAGTTTAGATCTGTAGGAGGAGTCCCCTCCCCAATACCATGAAACCAACTTTTCTCTAGAGAGTCCGCACGAGACTCAATATACTACTTTGTATCCTAAGTGGAACCAAAGTTGGTTCTTTTCCCCCCATAGATGAGTACATAAAAGCAGTACCCGCTGATTCTATAATCTCTTCTGTTAGTTCTGTGAAGCAAACATGATGAAGAGTATTGACCATTTCAAAATGGTTTGTCTGCTAAAGCTGTGATGGGGCAGGTATTTTTCTTATTCATAAACCAGAGAAAATTGCCTGAAACAATGGGGAATAAGGAGGTATGGTTGGAGAGTATTCAGCTTCTCTCATCCAGCTTTGAAAAGGGGAGAAATGAATAATAATTTTTTTAAAAAAAATACTAACACTGTCTGACCAAGATTGACTAGGAAGTCTAGTTTCATCCTGGGCCATTTATATTGGATGAAGTGATATAATATCTTAAATTTCAACCAGCAGAAAACTTATTAGCAGAGCAATAAGAAGAGGACGAAATCATATTGCAATTTAAGCGTCTAACTCCTAATACCTCACATTTTATAGTTAGTAGCTTAACTTACTTTTGCAAGTGTTCAAATAATATTTTCATGGTGTCGTAGTTTGGTCTCGGGAGCTTCTGTACAAGGTCTTTGATTACTTTCACTCTACTTTTGTTGTCTTGAATTTCTGAGGAAAAAAGAAAAAAAGAGGTTATGATCCCAGAACAATATTTGACTATCTAGCCTACTTTGCTTTTTGCTAAAGCTGTCTCAGACTATGAATATGGGTCTCAAGCTAAGATTGAAATGTTACAACCATATCTCTTTTTGAACATTACTTTCTAATGGACTGTATCCAAACTTGTGCAAGCAGAGATCCACACACACACAATGGAGATTTCTCACCCTTTCTCATCTCCTGTTCTCTGAAAAACCTCTCCTGAGGGTCAGGGCTCCCCAGGAACAGCCTGACATGTGCTTCACTAGGCTGTAGTGGAAAGGGGGAACTGCCAGAAATGGGGTGATTATTTGGGGTGATTCCCCTTCCCCAGGATTAGTATTATAATTTATTCAATTTCTTACCCACCCACCAAAACAAGGTTCCAGGGCAGGTTATGGCAATTCAAAAACGTAGTATTAAAATCTGTTTGAAACAACTAGTCAAAAAATTAAGGTTGGGTGGGTCCTAAAATATCCCAGGCCTTTTCTGATTGTCTCCAAACTTTGGAAGACACTTTTGGGAATCAAAGAGGGCTGCAAGTGAGGAGAAAGGGCAGAGAAGCTTGACTGTATGAGCAGGTTTCTACTCATGCAAGTTTGGATACAGCCCACCTGAAATGTAATGAACAAACTCTGTGATGACTAACCTCTTTCACAGCCAAGTTACTTGAAAAACAATTAATGTTTCTACTGCAATTTCTGTGCATCCTTCAGCCTGGGGAGGGGGGGATGAAAACATACTTGCACAGCTGTGGTGTCCATTAATAACTAGGCCTCCTCCCTCCGAGCTAGGGATATAACTATGCAAGTATAATTATTTCAATATTATAATTTAAATACAGTACAGTTTTATGTTAACAAATTACATGTATGGCATTAAAAAATGGCATCCATCATCTGAGAAGAAGCATTTCAGAATTTGTTAATCCACTCATTTTCTATGAGAGAACAGAGGTGAAGTTTTCAAGGAAATAGAAAAGCTATGTTTGAGCAATATCACATAAACCTGTGGGTGGGAGCTTCTGTGATCAAATGCTTCCACATGGGGAGAGGGGGGGCGGAATCCCACATATAAACAACTAATAAGTCAGGAAGGAAGCTAAACTAGATTCCTTCTCCATGACATGTCTTTTTTAATTGGAGGGGATGCTTTTTAGAAAAGGATGTGGATCCCTTTGTGAAGTGGCACACCTCAGACACAGATTTAACACCTCAGTAGAAACTAGGCCACAGGTGTCTCTATCTTACTTATTTGCTTAATTACTACTTAGATCGACTTAGCCCTTATGCAGACAATAGATTGAACCCATCAAACTTTAAAAATGTATATCTCTGGTGCTTATATACTTCGTTTTGTTCTTATTATATTTTCCATAATACAGTACCATACTTTAGTTTTATGTTCTCTTGTGATCAAATTCGTAGCTACGTTGACATTCTTAGTTCACATCCTGTCCTTTGCTTAGTATCCCCTTTCCTCATTTCATAACTGCCTTTTTTGTAGAAAACAATTAGTCAGTAATGAAAGAATGTGAGTCTGAGACCTATAATCGCCTTTGTGATGTGAAACTTCTTTTGATGATGTGATAACAGTGTTGCTGCTGACTGACTCAGGATAAGCGTGTGTGTTTTTTAATGCGATTGATGGTTTCAAGTCTTAAAATATGGTTTCTGATGGAGATATTTGCATCAGATGTTGAAGCATGTATAGCTCTGCTTTCGTTTCATGAAAGATAAGATAAAATAAATGTTAGAGGCCCCTGACACAGGGAAACCGTTTTACATGCTGCAGGTCTTAGATAACCTGAGTCTTGTTCCTAGCTTCAACCCAGTGCAGTAAAAATAAATAAATAAATTGATCTCATCGCTTAAAACCTCCTCCTGAAACAGTAAGGGACTGATATGTTTCTCATGGTAGATACGTACAGGAAGCCACTGAAGACCTTACAGTAGTTTCATAACTGCAGTGCAGTCCCTTATGTAAGAAGGATTGGCATAAATGGCTTAGATGAGGGATGCAGAACTTGTGGCTATCCAGAAGGTGCTAGAACACCTCCCCCCCCCCCCGCATCATCTCTGACCTTTGGGCATGTCAGCTGGGGATGGTGAAAGTCTGGGGTCCAACAACATCTGAAGGGCCACAGTTTCCCCACCAGAGGAATTTATGGAAAAGTATTTATTTGTTCTTGGGTGTGGGTATATATCTATGTATCTGTTTACCTACCTACGGATAAATCTGAAACAAAAGCAAATAAATGGAGTGAAGGCTGAGACTATAGAACGGACGACCGCATGTGATTAGTGAACGGCCAACTTGCAATCCACGTGTATCACAACTCTGCTCAGTTCTCCTCAGCAGCATTGCAGTGAAGTGCTAAACATGGTGCCAATGTATGACGTGAAGAACAGTCTGGGGAAACTATTATTTCTTGTGTGTGTGTGTTTGATTTTAAGAAGTCATGTATATAGTATGAAAGTGAATAAAGATTCCCCTCTCCTCTCTCTCCTGTTTGTCTTTAGGGGAGGCAGAATAAGCAAATACCAGCTGCCCCAAGAACAAAAACGATGCTTTCTAAATCTTTTGACAGCAATTCCACACAGAAAAAGACTAAGGCACAGCTGCCCTTCTGTGTGTGCTACTTACAGCAAAAGTATTTTTAATGCTCCTTCTTCAAAGGGGGGGAGGGGAGGAATCCCATGGGAAGCTTCAAAATGATAAAAGAATCAAGAAATTGTCTTAGAGCCGATTCATATAGACTCATAGAATTGTAGAGTTGGAAGGGTCCCAAGGGTCATCTAGTCCAGCCCCCTGCAATGAAGGAATCTCAACTAAATAGATTACCACATAGCATTCAGTAGCTTTGTGGTAGGTTCAGGCATTTGTGGTTTATTTTGTTGACTACTCCTCCAAGTGGCTCAGTTGGATGCATCCTAGACCAATTTGGCTTGATTGCCGGCAAAATTAGAATGATCTTTTCGATGACTGACTCTAATAAGAAGGGTGAACTAGAAAGTAGCCTTATTCATAGTGGATACAACTAAGATTTGATCACAAATTCTGAATAGCAGCCTATTAAACTGTGGAGATGAGGATTATTAGTGCTTTAATGTGTGTTGAATGATAGTGAACTATTTTACAGATCTGGGTCTCTTTTGATACTTGACACATTGTAAGACAATTTATATATTTGCTGTTTGATGATTTGATGGATTACAACAATTATTTGGCCTGCATGTTGGAGCGCCCACATAGTAAATGTTCCGTCCTATGAACCATAGCAGTGGTGTTTGCCATTGGAGGTGGGGAAACCTGCTAGGGCTTGGAATCTGCCAGAACAGATTCACAAAAGATGGCTTTCTTACCCCTCCCCCTTTCTCAGCAGACCCCTGCACTGCTCAGATTCTGTTTGTAGCAGATTAGCCATCTCTTGGGAATGAGATATGGTGCAGGTGTGTGCTTTTGCATACAGAAGCCAGAGTTGGCTGAATTCCCCCTACCCCGTGACTTGATCCAAATCTATGTGATGGCCCCATGTAATGTAAAAGACCAGATCTTAATTTGGTCAGAGGGATCCAGCTGTACACCTGAAACATGGTCCAAGCCCTTGTTCAAACAAAGAATTCTGCTTACTTTATGCTTTGCCACACAATTTCACCCCACAGTTTGACTTAATGTTAACTGAGGCACGTTAGACTAAAATGAATCAGGGGGAAAAAATTCTGAAAGACGTAGTGAGAAAATGATGTAGAGTACAAGATCCACTGCACCCCCCCCCCCGAATGTATCTCAGCGCTTCCAAATGTAAAATGGCCTTTATTGCTTCCTAGTTTCAAACACAGGCACTGACGAAGCTGGTGAAAAACAGCTAATTCATTGTTAAAGCACAGAAGTAATTTTGCACACCCCTGTTTTATGAATCAACTTCCCCTGCTAATTGTAATCTGACTGAAAAAAGAAGAAAAATAGGCAACATGTGGTACCTTTAGTCAGCATTTCTGAACTGGGAATGATAAACACCTCTGCCTGGCTCTGGCATTTATCAGTACTGAGATATTATTACCACATAGACTCACAGCATGGTTACTGTTATCATCAGGGGGAAAAAGAGGGAGCTAATCTTAATGGTTTGTAAGGCCGTTACCTGCACTGGTCTGACATTTATCATGCTCATCTTACCACATGGGTCCTCCATAGCAAAGGTATTTTATCTAGAAGGGACATCACTATGAATTATTATTTGCAGCTAGGTAGAAAATTGTATGTTGTAGATACCTTTTCTCATTATAAATCACAGTCACATTTCACCATTTCCCCCACAAAGCTGCTGAGGCCAGGCTTTTTGCCATAACACTCACTCTCTCTTTTATAGTTCCATGAAAATATTGGATATTCTTTCATTAGAAAGGTTGATACTGATCTCGCTCTGTGTGTGTGTTTAAAAAACAATACATTACAAAATTTGATTTTAAAAAAATAAATTGGCACCGGGAAGGCAAAACAATGTTGATTCATTCACTGATTCATGCAGCATAAAGGATGGAGAAGGGGCAAAGGCACATCCTGTTGTTCCCATAGCACACAAGCTCACTAACAGCTTTCTTAATCTCTGCTTGCTTTTCCCAGTACCAAAAGAGTTGCACGTAAATTGCTTAAAGCCACAGGTGACTCTTGAACCACAACCTTAGTACTGACAGCTTATAGCAAGAGGAATTATTCAAAATGTGCTAACTGCATCAAGAGTGCCACTTGCATTTTTGACATGTAACATATAAAAATCAGAGGAAACAAAAGAATGCTATAATGTAGGCTTCAATACCTTGCACATTTACGGCAGGCCCCTTGGTTTCAACTGGAATTGTGTGTGTAAAATAGAACACATGTAGGTAGTGAGTGGTGGAAAACAAACGAAGAAACAAAGCATTAACTCTCCTGCATCTAGCAAACACTATTGAGTACAGAAATGATGCTTCCAAAAATTAATTTGAAATGGACATGGATGTTAATAGCATCCCACTTTGTTACTGAACAGGAAGTCCAGAGTTTATCTCTCATAACTCCCATTTGCTAGGAATAGGACCTATGATTCCAACCTGACATAAATTCATTATGTTGCAAGGTAATGGAGTTTGACCTCTTCCCCTTCCCTCAGCCCTGCTGCATTATTCATGGCTGATGGGCCCAGAGTCATTTTACCCCACAACCGACTCGTCTTTTCTAGGAGGCTTTAGAAAGTGTGTGTGCATGTTTAATGTTAAACTGGCATTCATGGCTCACCTCAACACTTTGTCTGATTTAAGACCTTGAGTGCTGTGCTGCTTCACCTCAGTGTGGTTTTACTTATTTAATTTTTTAAAGAGTATTCTACCAGGCTTCATAACTACTGAAAGTATTGTCATCTTTCAGATTTTTATTATTATTATTATTATTTAAAAGCCTCTCTCTCGCTCCTTGCTTTACGTTTCTTGCTTGCTATTTAGGTTAGGATTGCTTCATATTGTGTTTCTCTTTTATTCCAAGGAAAATCTTTAAAGGTTTTTAACCTTTAAAATGTATTTTAAATAAATAAAACAGATGCACGCCTTTTCTTAAGGAGGATATTTTGAGTCACACGTTTCATCTGTCAGCCTGCCTCATTTGCCTCTATTGAAAAATAAAAACGGAGCGAACCAGGTTGAGATTTTGAGTGCTAAAGAAAATGTGAGGCTTCTGATGCTGGCTGCAACCAGACATAGTGTTGGGCAGACGCTCTGCAAGCTCCCCCACTGTGCTGCTGTGCAAGCTTCCCTGCTGGTATGTTTGCTATAGTTTTAATGTCTGTGAAAAAATTTGAGGCAACTAAATTATGCTCTGCCCTCTTGGATGTAAATAAAACATCCGATTTAGACAATTTCTATTGCCCTTACTCAGTTTTAGTAGTTCTGTGCCAGCCTGACTCTTAAAACATATTCCCCCAACCACTCCACAAATCTGGCATCTTGTGTGAAATCTGGCTAAAACAAAACACATATTATTCCAGCTGAACTCCGTTAAGCAGTAGTAATTGTGTGTGTGTGTGTTTGTGTGTGTGTGTGTAAAGATGGATAAACAGAGATAAAATATATAGATGGTCAAAAGGATACAAAAATAGAAACACAGACATTTCTGTTTCTCCACCTAATCTATCATTTCTTTTGGCTAAATGTCAGCAGTCCAAATCTGATTCATCCATTATACAAAATATCAAGTTTATAACATAAACAGACTGATCTCACACACACACACACACACACACACACACACACACACACACCATTAACTTATAAGTTAAGATATGAATTGATTTGCTTTTTATTCATGCCTCCCCCCAAAAAAATAATAAAAAAAATTTAAAATGTTGGGAAATATTTCAACACTATCAATTGATCAGTTCACCAAATGTGGTTTATAAAGAGAGAGGAGTTTTCCAATGAATATTCATACATATTTTTCAGTCCATTAGAAAGACTTAAGACAATGAATTTCTAACTCTATTCCATTTAACAAATAAATATGTGGAATTAATGGAATAATAAAAAAAAAGCACCATGCTCACAGTACTTAGAAAAGTTAAACTTTAATGTCTCAACCTCCAGGTGCCATCGTTTGAGAAAAATAACCAATAATCGTCATTTTTTTTACATATTTGATGGGACTGATTATGCAATGTGCAACTCTAAATGGCTTATAGCACATTGTAGCATGGTTCCATCCCATTGGCTACAGTAGGGTGCAGGCAGATGGATGACAGTGACAAGGAGAGAAGTGCTTTTGCTTAGCCGTGCGTTAAGATGCCATCCAGAAGCTCTGTGCACTGCAGACACTTCATTAGGATGCCAGGATAGTGGTAAACTACCACTCAGAGTGACACTCCATTTCCTGCTTACTGAGCTCTCCAACCTCGGCAGATGTCAACAATCTCACAGTGCCACAGAGCAGACCTAACTTTCCAGTCACTTTGACTCCAATTTTTTTCCCTTAACAGTGCCATACATTACAGGCAATATGTAGCAGCAAGTAACGGCAAACAGGGAAGGGGGGGGGGGGGAATTGCTGGACCCTAATTATAACAGAAGCAGCATCTCATGCAATAAGCCTCTCTCTGCTTGGAATACCTAAAGCCAACTCTTGTCTTTTTCACAGAGGGTTCTTTCTGAGGAAGGAGGGGTTTTGCTATATATACCACTACCAGCTCATTTCACCACACTGTGATAATGTAAAGCTGAAAATCCTAAGAGATATTACCCTGCTTCGTAACTAGCTTTCATCGCTTTTAACTGAGAAACAATTCTGCTCCTCTCTTTTCTCCTGGTCGGTGCTTTTTGCTCGGCTTCAGTTTTGTGCATGGTTTTCTGCGTGCACAGAAAGAGCAGACTCGAACATCTGGATAGTGTGATATTTTCTCAGCAAATGCACAACTTGAGGCTATCACACACCTCCCTAACAAGCAGTTAAAGCCAACAGAGACTGTGTTGGAAGTCTTTAGCCTGATTTTTTTTTCTCTCCCAGAGGAACAAAAATGGCCAAATAGTTCCCCCGCTCTCAAAATATTTCTAAAACCAAAAATAGTATGAAAATATATTAATCCATGTCCCACATTCTCTTTTTGCATGTTCCCTGTAGCAACAAATAAAAACCTTTCAC